ATTAATGTGTTCATAGGATGTGTAGTTCTTACGGTTTAGTTGCATAAGATGTGAGTTCTTATGGTATGACGGGTGAGTCATAGGTTATGTGTAAGGATGGAAATAGGAAGTTTATGTGAGTTATATTTGTCTATTTCTGGGAGTCTGGGGAATAGAAGTTTTATGTGAGTTAGAACTGTCTATTTTTTCCCTAGAGACTCGAGTAGAAACACCCTAGTGATTGGGTTATTTCGGATAGCCTAGTGATTGGTCATAGTGATGATGATATTCCGGGTTAGGGAATGTCATGATGGAACCACGGGAGGGATTTGGTCAACATGTGCTTATGATGCACGTTGCAGAATTGATTGCTCTAGGGGATAGTGATCTTCCCTGCATATACTTGAGGGATATAGATTTCTCTCCAGGGGATAATGATTTTTCCTGCATATACACTGAGGAATAGTGATTTCTCTCCAGGGGATAGTGATTTTCCCTGCATATACTCTGAGGGATAGTGATTTATCTCCAGGAGGTAGTGATTTTCCCTGCATGCCGATAGCTTGACGGACTGTGTGTTCCGAGAGTGAGAGGGGCATGGAGCATACTGATAGCCTGACGGACAGCGGTCCAGAAGGTGGGAGGGGTATGATATACACCAAGCTCAAAGGATGACGATCCTGAGAGTGTGAAGGGTGTATATATATATGAGTGATGAGCAATTACTGTCTGAAACGTGATTATAAGTATGAGACTCGATGAGCCTCAGGGATCGGTGGATGATCTCAGGTGGTGCTGGCCGGGTTTGGTTATGAGGGTTCCCGTAATGCGATAATATTGTGTGATTCGAGTGGGGATCTCGGATGGTGCTGGTCGGGTTTGGTCAGGAGAGTTACCGTAGTGCGACGATATTGTGTGATTCGAGTGGGGATCTCGGATGGTGCTGGCCGGGTTGGTCAGGAGTGTTGACCGAAGTGGACGATGTTGTATGTTTTGAGACGTTGATCTTGAGTGTTGTTGGCTGACTGAGCCAGGTGGTTGAGACCGTAGTGAACGGTATCGTGAGATTCGAGGACATATCTTGGTTAGTGGGGGAGAATTGTAACGCCCGTGAACCAAAATTGAGAATTTTGGCAGGTTGATTTGAACCGGTTGGTTCGATTTAATCGTCGGTTTGGCTGGTTAGGTTAAGGGAGCCCTAAGGCTCGTGTTTAAAAGGGAGCAGTCTCTATTTTGTGCAAAAATAACGTGAAAAGGCTGAGAAATTGGAAGAAAAGAGAAAAGGAGAAAGAGATGAACCGACGTGTCTATGAAGGAGATGATGACAGTTCTGGCCCTTCTAGAAGAATAGAGGAAAAAATAGGCTAATTAGGTCGTATTAGAGTGAAACTTCTAGGGTAAGTTCTCGACTCTCATATCTAACTTTGGGCGAAATCGGTTTGTCATTTGGATTAGTAATTTGAGAGTTATGGTTATTTTTCAGAGAGAGATTCGTGGAGAATTGAATCTGCGATCAGTCTACTTCGTGGGTGTTTTCCCGTCGAACCAGAAGGAATTAGGAGGTGATCTGTATAGCTTGGAAAATTCTCGGTCTCATGATTCCAGATAATGTTTCCGATTATTTTTCTGAGGTAAGCTCCGTTCTGTGTGCTTTCGAAGTCGGCTGGCTGTTTCTGTTTTTAGGAACCCTAATCCGCTTTAGGAAAAACTCCAATTAGTTTGGTTAACCGGTTGGGCTGGTTCGGTTTGGGTTAACCGACTGGTTTGGTTTGCAGTGTTCTTTAGGCAAAGGCCCAGAGGTCAGAGGAGCGTTGCCAGAGGTTGAGGTCTGAGGCAATTGATAG